ATTTCGTTTTGCAAACCCTGCGTGATGAAATTTTGGTTGCACAAGATCCGTCACGCAAAGCTCGTGAAGAAAGGGTTTGTGCGACGAAACCTAATCTTCGTCGCGCGGAGCTACTTTGCACGATGAACGTTAACGTCGTGCAAATCTAATTTGCGCGACGAACCCTAACGTCGCGCAAAGCTACTTTGCGCGACGAACCCTAACGTCGCGCAAATATACTTTGCACGACGAATACTAACGTCACGCAAAGCTTCTTTGCGCGACGAACATTAACATCGCAATATTCTTTGTGCGACGAATCCTAACGTCGCAATATTCAAATTTTTTAAATTTTTGTGTTTTAAATTTTTTTAATTAAAATAAACTAATTTAATAGTTTGTGCGATGAAATATTTTGTCACGCAAGGTTTTTGACTTTTTGTTTTATTATTTCTCTTATATTAATTTAATTATATTAATTTATTCAAATTTTTACTTTTTAAATTTAATTTAATTGTATGATTTTATTTTTTTTAATTACTTTAATTTAAATTGACATATTCAAAATAAAATTACATATGAAAAATAGTGATCAAATTATCCAATATATATATATAATATTCAAAATGTACACATAAATTAACAAAGTACAATAATAAAATCCTAATACAAGCCTATTGCGGTGGTAGTGGCGGAGGATATGTTTCGATAGCGTCCTAACCCTCAACTTTAGCCGTCAAAGTCTCGACCATTCCCTAAAAAAAAACAAATATGGTCAAATAACAAAAAAATAACATAAAATAATAACAAAAAATTGGCATAATCTCCCCTAAAATTGGTATACCCCAAATCCAACCCAAACTCCAATCCTCACCCTATACTCAACCCCAAACCCCACACAAACTCAAAACTAAGGCCTAGTTTGGGATTGCTGTCACTTTTTAAAAAAGTTGCTTCTGCTGTGCTTTGAAAATAATTAGCTGTAAAGTAAAGCAACTCCATGTTTGGTAAACAATATTTTTAAAGTGCTGTTAGTACAAAAAGCAGTGTCAAAACCGTTTGGTAAATTTTAATATAAAATTGTTGTAACTGTGAATAATGACTAAAATAGACATGATGTTGAAAGTGTTATGTACTAATCATGTGATGGTAGTGGTGGTGATGGAGTGGAGGTGGTGGTGGTGGTGATGAAGGTGGAGTTGGTGGTTGTAGTAGTGGTGGTGGTGTTGGTTGTGGACGTGGTGATGGATGTGGAGGTGGTGGTGGTGGCGGTGGCAGTGGATGAGGAGGAGGAGGATGTGGTGGTGGTGGTGGCAGTGGCGATGGTTGTCGAGGTAGTGAATGTGGTGGTGCAAGTGGTGGAGTTGGATATGGAAGTGGAGGTGGTGTCATTTTTTAAAATGAATAATGGTATTTTGGGAATTAAAAAAATTCATTAAAAGTTTATCTCTGCTTCTTTTGAAAGCACCTTTGAAAGGCAACCCAGAGCCTGCTTTTAAAAGTTGCTGTCAAAAGGCCTTTGCTTTTAAAATAATCAGGATATTTTATTTTTACCAAACACCTTAAACTACTTAACTTTAAAGTGAAGCAGGTTTTTGGCGAAAAAAAGCAATCCCAAACGGGGACTCCAAAAACACATATTAATGAAACAAATTGAAAATTTGGAGAGAATATACCTTTTGGCAAGATTGAGAGTGAGTGAGAATGAGAGGGAGAAGTGAGAGTGAGAGAATTAGAGAAGATAGTGAGAGAGAGATGAGTGAGTGAGTGAGAGTGAGAGATAGTGAAAAGAGAGATGAGAGAGTGAGTGAGAGGGAGAGATAGTGAAGAGAGAGATGAGAGATAAAGTGAGAGGAGTGAGTGTGAGAGAAAGGGTCGGATTTGGGGAGAGGGAAAGAGAGAGGAGAGGTAAGAGTAGAGAAAGACATTGAGAAAATGGTGGACGAGTTATTTTGGTTTTAAAAACTGTATCACTTTGCGCGACGAAATATTATATTTTCATCGCGCAAAGTGACTTTGTGCGACGATGTGTGTTTCGTTGCGCAAAATTTAGTCGCGTAAAACTTTGAGGACGAAGTTTTGTCTTTCGTCGCGCAAAAGTTGGTTGCGCAAGGGTTTTTTGTACTAGTGATTAAGACGGGCTTAAATAGCATTTAGCTGGTTCTGAATTCACTAGCTCCCCTCTCTCGAAACCCTTTAAGGAAGGTTGATTGATTGTGGTTGAAATTTGCTATACATGTGTAAAAAAAATATAACCGTGCTTGCCATAGGAGTGTGTACAGTTGAACAGCCCTGAAACTAAAGAGTCCCACATTGGTAAGTTGAGAAACCTAGCAAGGGCTTATAAGGAGTTGGGCTACTCCCCCCATTGCCGATTGGTTTTGGGGTGGAACCTCAACTTCCTTCATGGTATCAGAGCAGGTTAGCCCACGCGTGAAAGCTCAACGGCCACGCGTGCTCCATGTCACCCAATATGTGTTGTCCACGTGATAGGCTTGAAAATTCGCCACACGTGCGGGGGCGTGTGAGAATGTGAAGGTAAAGAGTCCCACATTGGAAAGTTGTGAGAATGTGAAGGTAAAAAGTCTCACATTGGAAAGTTAGAAAGCCTTACAAGGGCTTATAAGAAAGCCTTACAACAAGGTCCAGTTTCTATACTGCACCAATTCACATATGTACGAACAGAAGCCAATCCATCCATTTGGTTAGGCTCTGAAGGTTCCTCCATCCAATTATCTTCTTCAGTCCCAATGACGCATAGCAATAGAATTCTGTAGATGGATCAATTGTTAGATATTTTATGTCTTAAACCACTTTAATGTGGTCTTCTAATCATCATAGGAGATCTAGGTCTTTGTATTGATTAAGAACTTGATCAGAATTGGTGTTTTGGTTCTAAGGGAAGTTGTATTTTACAGAAATCCTTGTTCCAACAGATTCCTTATGTGTAATCGATTAGAACACCTTATACCAGTGCAATTAGGATAGCTCTTGTATTCCTTGATGGGCTAGGAATATTGAGCTAATGCATATTGATGGGCATATTTTATGTCATATATTTAATCCCATTCTTAGTATATTTTGGTTGATATTTTGGAAGAATTTTGATATTTTGAATTATATTTCCAATATAGGACTCTCGACTTCCTCTGGAGCAAAACGTAATCAAATGGACGAATTTTGGAGTAATTCCAGTTGGAGGACGTTCGTGAGTCACTTGGCTTGATCGTATCAAAATTTCAGACTTTTCTACTGAGCGGTAATTTTCTGGCGATGAAATAAAGGAGCAGTGCGCGGTGCTGGAATAGTGACGTGTTGGGCTTTTATTGCGTTTTGGAGCCCAAGATGACCTCGGATGGGTTCGTGGCCTTCTGGAGAAGTGTTCAGAACGTTTTTATCTTTAAATCAAGCTATCTTGGGCCGGATTTGGAGGAGATTTGTGGCCAAAACGTGGCTGGACAGATTGTTGGCAGATTCTCCTAGTCCAATTTGGACTTTATTTCCTAGTTTTATTTTATTTTAACCTAGTTTCCTTGTGGGGATTAGGAGCTGAGTTTTAGGAGGTATTTAAACTATTTTTCACAGCAAATTTAGGATCTCTCTTTTGGCTTTTGGAACGCGACT